ACCCCAAGCACATTGCTAATGACGTTCTACAGTCTTCTGACTTCATTGTTTTTGAGAAGTGTTGTCACTCAGTCTTTCGTTAAGGGGTCTGGTTTTTTGTTTTTCATTTTTCTCCTTTGAGAGGTTTTAATGTTTTCTCTTTGCCTAAGAGTAAGTTTCTTTTTACTTACTATACTAGAGGATTTTAGGCTTCTTGAATTTCTGGAGTGGTATCGCTCATGAATTTTGCAGGATTCTCAGCCATTATTTTTCAGATCATTACATCTTGCCTCTGGGACAGGAAGTAAATATATGTTAAATCTTTTCACTGTACTCACTGTTGCTACTCATTTTTATCTATTACTTCTTTCTGTGTTTTCTCCTGATCTGTTCTCCAGTTCACTAATTTTCTTTTCACCTATGTAGAATCTACTGATAGGCCTATCCATTTGCATTCTTAATTTTGGTTATTACAGTTTTCATTTCTGGAAGTCCTGTTTAGCTATTTTCCAAATCAAATATATCATTTTTTTTATTGATTTCTAGTCAGTGCATATATTCCTAAGATTTTTTTCTATTTCTATAAACATAATTACCATTGCTTTTTATAATCTGTGTCTGATGATTGTAGTATTTCAACTCTTTCTGTATTGCTTTTGTTATTTATATAAGCTATTTCTATCTTGTATATTTTTGCACCTGGTTAACTTTGTCTGTGTCTGTGATGGTCGTTACATTGAAAAATTATTTCTAGGAATAATTGGATAACTAAGATGATAATAATAACCTTTTTATCAGAAACAGCTTTCATTTACTTTGGTCAGTCTAGGACAACCTTATTCCAAGTTTAAGAAATTTAGAGTTAGCACTGAACCTTATGTATGATTGTGCATGATTGGACTTTTTTCTATTGTTGTTGTTGTTATGTGCCATCAAGTCAGACCTGACTCATAGCAACCCCTCCTTGGATTTCCGAGGCAGTATCACTATGGAAGTAGATTGCCCAACCTTCCTTCCAAGGAGTGGCTGGTGGGTTTGAACCTCCAGCCTTCTGGTTAGCAGTCAAGTGCCTTAGGCACTATGCTACCAGATTTAGATAAGAAAAATGAAGATGTGAATATACTGGACTCAGAGAGTGATACAGGTTGGTTTGAGGGCAGATTTACTTTTGGTGTGTCTTATCTTGAGAGTATACCCCATCTAGGTCCCTCCTTCTGTCAGCCTATAACATTTGTCCTCTTGGCCTTGCGACACTGTCAAAACTACAGTTGAACTTCATCACCATTTCTTCTGTATCAGGGCCCTTAGGGAAAAGAGGTCTCAAATGCTCAGATAATCTATCTCTCTGGTGCTTCTTTCTCCTGATTTCAGTTTGATAATTCCTCACTGATTTGTCAGTTCTTTAAAGCTTTTCTTCTCTTTTTTTTTTTTTAATTTTTATTGTGATTTGGGTGGAAGTTCACAGAGCAATTTCATTTTCCATACAGTAGTTCATACACATTTTGTCTCATAACATTGACTGTAGTTTCCAGCAATGTAACAGCTCTCTTCCCACTTCCTCCCCATAGTTACCTCTTCCCTATGTCATTCCCTCCCGTGCACTCCTACCCCCCGAGTGATCTCCCCATAAATACAATGCTGTTCTTTTCTCCCATGATTGATCACTCTGAGAAGTGTATCTATCTGATGTAAATGTCCAGCCCATATGCCAGTCTTTCATTTGAATGAAAATTACAGGAGTGAGTTCAATTCCAGACCTGAAGGGCAGCTAGGGACCATAGTCTCAGGGATTTCACCAGGTTCTATCAGACCAGCAACTGTTTTTTTTTTTTTTTTTAATATACATTTGACTTTTGTTCCACATTGTTCTCCCATTCTAGCCAAGATCTCCTATACAGATCCCCCTCCAAGTAGTTGACAGTGGTAGCCAGGCACCATCTACTTCTTCTGGTCTCATGGTCTTATAGGCTGAGGATCGCGTGGTGTACCAGTTGCCTGGACAAATAGTTTTCACAAATCTTTGGTTTTCTTCATTCTTCTTTGCTCTGGATTAGGAGAGACCTATCATTGCATCTAGATGACCACTTGCAAGCTTTTAAGATCCCAGTCACTACTCACCAAAGTAGGATGTGTAACAATATTTTTGTGTAGTATGTTATGCCAGTTGAGCTTAATGTCCCGTGTGACCATGGTCCTGAGCCCACAGGTCCAACTACTTACTCACTCTGGGCAGCTGGCTGTGGACAAGAAGTCACCACAACCTTGTCCCTTGTCAGCTCTAGTATATACTTGGACATTTTTTACAGAACATGCAAACACACTTATAGAAACATCATCTGTCACGCCTGTGCATGGTCATGGGAACACTCCCCCCTGTCTAGACATACCTGATAATTTAACCTGTCCCCCCATCTATCCACCCATAGATCAGTGTTTGCTATCACAGACAACGCAGTACTGTATGTGCAAAACAGAGTTGTTTATATTTCCCATGTACCTCTCTATGTCTTCTTCAGTGCCACTGTGTTGATCACTCACGTTTGGTGCATTGCCATTCCCTTCACCCAAATCAATGCTTGTCTCTACCTATCTAGCAGTGTTCTCTCCCCTCCCCTCCCAACCCTGGCAACCAACAAAGAAAATGTCCTTCCATATATAAACCTTTCCTTGACCCTCCACAACAATGAACTAAACCTATATTTGTCCTTCTGTGATTGACTTATTTCACTCAGCATAATGTCCTCCAAGTTCATCCATGTTATATGGTGTTTTGCAGATTCTACATTATTCTTTAGGGTTGCGTAGTATTCCATTGTGTGTATATACCATAGTTTGTTTATCCATTCTTCTGTTGATGAAAAATCTAGGTTGTTTCCATCTTTTTCCTATTGTAAATAGTGCTGCAATGAACATGGCTCTCACTTCTTTAGGCTATATACCTAGTAATGGGATTCCTGGGTCAAATAGTATTTCTAATTCCAACTTTTTAAGGAATCACCATACTGCTTTCTACAGTGGTTGTGTCATTTTACAGTCTCACCAGCAGTGTATGAGAGTCCCAATCTCCACATCCTTACCAGTATTTGTTATTTTCTGTCTTGTTGAACTTTGCTGTAGTGCTGGGGCAAAATAGTATCTCATTGTTATTTAGATTTGCGTCTCTCTAATGGCTCATGATCATGAACATTTCTTCATGTGTTTGTTGGCCACCTGAATATCTTC